GGCGCGGCGGCGGTGCCGGACGGTGGGCGGCCTGGGAAGGTTCAAAAGGGCCGTTCCCCGGACGGTGCCGATTTTTTATTTTTTATTTTATTTTATTTTATTTTTTTCCAGAGAAACGCAGGCGTTTCCCCCCTTTGCTTTACAGACAAATAATCCAGGCACACCTGTGAAACGCAAAGACGAGCGGGGAAGGGGATGCCGGGTCTCCCTGTGCCGCTGTAGCCCCCGGCCCGAGGGAAGGGGCTGCTGAGAGGGGCGCGGGGGCAGGGGAGAGAGCAGGGGGAGGGGAGGCAAAGGGGCCCGCCCTCCAAAGTGCCCTCCAGACAGCCCCTGCTGAATCACACGTAGGTTCTCTTCAGTCCAGCCCCACACACGCTGCTGTGGCTGCAGGGGCAGCCTGCAGGAGAGCAGAAGACCTTACCAAAAAAAGAGAAAACGTTTGGTTTATTTAACACGGAGTAACATCAAGACTGACAGGGATGTACTCATCTCCTGAAGTACATCAAAGTGGGTAACAGCAGTGAGGCAAAAGAGCTGTTCAAGCTAAAAGACAATGCTTGGCACAAGAACGAATGACTGTAAAGCAGCTGTGAATAAATACAGATCAGAAATTAGTAGGGGTCCTGCCAGTAAGGAGGAGAGGGAGGTTTCTGGCACAGCCTCTCTGTAACAGTGGGTGCAAGAAATCAAACTGGTTCTAAGGTAATGCTTGATCAGATTATGTTATACCGTACGCTTGCTTGCGAGCAGAATCATTATTTAACATGGAAACTATCAGTCTGACAATCCAGAAGCCTGCTGAGTCTGGAGCAGGACAGACTCGCTGGGAAGCTGCGTTACTGAGCCGGGCGCTGCCGCTGCCTCGCAGAAGGGAGGAACAGAGCGAAGATGAGGAGATAGCAGCGCAGTTTCGTGTTTGGCTGCACCGTGCAGCTAGGTGAGGCTCGAGGTTCCTGTCATTCTTCACACACATTTAAAGTCATTACAAATAAAAGTGGCCGTGAACGAAATGTACATCTAGTGCAAAGTACCACTAGCACTACAGTTCAAAGGATTATAATCCCCTCCTCAAGCATGGATTGACTGTGGAGAAAGAGTGCAGAAAAAAGTTTTAAATTCTTATAATCAGCCAACACAACACGCAAATGGCCCTGCCTAGCCCCTCAGTCCCTAATTAGGAGGAGTCCCTGTCTGTCCCTGTTGACACCTGGACAGACCCAAAGCCTGGATTTGGCCCAGCTGTACCCATGCCCACACAGGCTACCCCATGAAGGAGCCCCAGGCTGGAGGTGATGTTGGGCTAGGAGACCCAAGCACTGAGTGCCTGGCTGTGCAAGAAACTGGGGCCAGTCCAGTCCTGCTAGTACCAGTTACATGAACATTAATGGGGGTATTTTAACATTGTCCCACTGAGTTGTGTGTCTTGTCATCTGCTGTGAATAAGCCAAATGCACCTCAAACTGCATTTCAATAACAAGAGCATCTAAATCTCATACTGATGTAGTCAAATTTCAGAAATATTTCTTCTGTACTTTACTCTTTTCCTATTAAGTATTTCAAACCAGCAAAACTGAAAATCTGTATTACACACAGTCTCTCTCACATTATTTTAATTCATGGAGGTAAAAATTCCTCACCACAGGGATTTTTCATTGTGTCACAAGGGCCTTAGGTCACTTCCATGCTGTTTTATTTATGAGAGTAGAAAAAGCTCCAGGACCCCACTCCCCAGCGTGACTCATGTGACATCTCCAAGGTCAGCATGTCCCTGTGCTGACTGCTTAGGTAGCAATCTGCCCTGAGCTCATCAGAGCACATGGCCTGCAGTCTTAACGTGGAATACCAGCTAGCCACATTAGTGAAAAACATCCTTTTCCTCTTCAGTTCTTCAAAAGCTTTCAGCTTTTATTGATAGAGGATCAGCTTGCCCAAGCTATCTGCGCATGCAGCAT